GAGCTCTGAGAGAAACTGCTCTTTCAAGAACAGCTCTGACAGAACTATGGCGTGCCCAAGGTCATCCAGCAGCTGTGTGTGGAGGAGTGGGGAACCAAACCCGGTTCTCCCAGGTTAGAGTCCATGCACTTAACCACTACACCAAACTGGCTCTCACAGAGTCCACGGAAGTGATTGTTCTTCACCAAAGGTAATCATACGAGCCACTACTGATGGCTTCAAAATAAGATATCATTGATGCAATTCATGGAATGTTGAAAGAGTTCATTGCTGTTTCCACACTATAGATACAACATACAAATATTTCTTACCTAACTGCCCGAATCTACATCAAAGGGGGTTAACTAGGTCCCTGTGGTTGTAACGGCTTGTACCAATATTTTTTTATGGGGTGACTTCTCTAGGCATGACTGAGCCCACAAACTAACAACATTCCAAAAGTCAACAAAGAAACTTTGTCTTTTGAAACGTCACCTACTTGTGCTCTGAACAGGAGAAAAAGAATATTATTTGGAAGATGGTTAGGGGAAAATATATATCTTTTTTTGGAGCGTATTACTAAAGCCCGATACCATATTTCAACAAGGATTTCAACCTGCAAAAACTTTAAGTACCGGGACCGCTACATCCTCCCCTTCTCTGCGTCTCCATGCGGCACAGAAATCAGCCTGCCTACACAGTCCTGTGTCTTGATCATAAGAAGATGGAATATGTTTAACCCACATATTGCTGTCATAGGAATGTGCTGGAAGAAATGCATTCTCAATGGCTTACCGCACGATACTCTAATGTGACATAAGTAGTACCAGCACTCAAGCTCCACAGCTGGGACTCATCAGGACAGAAAAAGGGCAGCACGCATGACACGACGGAGACCTTGAGTCCCCCCCTGCAGCAGATAGCGGTAGGGAATCACTCCCTGCACCAAAGGATCCAAGCTAATGTTCAACACGCATATATACTTTGCATTACCCGATCTCCCCCGTAATGTGGCAGGGAGGCATTTCGGAAGTGTGGCTTTGCCAAGTACACCCCTGGGGTACACAACAGGACAGGAACGTCTAGAGAACCCCTCCTCGGCCTGTTTGCAAAGCACAGCTGCTACCTCAGAGTCCACCTGGGTTTTGCTATTCAAGGCATTCCAGAGACAGGCCTGGAGAATCTCAGTCACTGGATATTGGCAGGATTCAAATCCAGTAGCACCGTAAAGACCAACAAGATTTCCAGGCACAAGCTTTAGAGAGCCAAAGCTCCCTTTGGCTGACCTCCTGCCCCTTTAGCATTTCTCCCCTGCTCTAATCAAGCTGATTGCGTTTTGCATTGTACGTTTGCACTCAGACTCCCTTCTTTGCAACATCCCTCCCACCTAGAAGAAGAAGAGAGTGGATTTATACCCTGCCCTTCACTGCCCAAAGGTGTCCCAGAGCGGCTTACAAACTTCTTTCCCTTCCCCTCCCCACAACAGACACCCTGTGAGATAGGTGGGGCTGAGAGAGCTCTGACAGAAATGGCTCTTTTTCAAGGACAGCTCTTATCAGAACTAGGGCTTGCCCAAGGTCATCCAGCAGGTGCAAGTGGAGGAGTGGGGAATCAAACCCGGTCCTCCCAGATTAGAGTCTGTGCACTTAACCACTACGCCAAACTGGGTTGCCAGGTCCGACTCAGGAAATATCTGGGGACTTTGGGGGTGGAGCCAGGAGCAAGGATGTGACATCACTTTTGTAATGTCATTAGGGTTGTCAGGTGAGGCCAATAAGCTGGAAGGGAGTTCTGGCTGTCACATTTAAGCATTCCTTTTAAAAGCATTCCTTTGAAATGCTTTCCCTCCTTTGGGAATAATGGAGGAGGGGGCAGCTTCCTATGGGGCTGATAGAATTGGACCCCTGGTCCAATCTTTTTGAAACTTGGTGTCCCCCCCCCCAGGAGGGGCTCCACCAGCTATGCTGAAAATTTGGTGCCTCTACCATAAAAAACAGCCCCCCAGAGCCCCACGAGTTGACTCTCCATTATAACCTATGGGGACCAGTCTCCGTAGAGTATAATGGAGTGCGCCATCCCCCGGTTTCTGACAGCCCTGAAGTGGGGGAGGGACTCCAAACCAGGGGTTCCCCTGCTCCCAACTGGGGATCTGCAACCCTACTCCCACCTTCTGACTTGGGAAATAAGGGCTCAGGGATCTCTGTTCCTACCTGTATTTGACGAAGGGAGCTTTGACTCCCAAAGCTTATGCCCTGGAAATCTTGTTGGCCTTTGAGGTGCCAGTGGAGTCAAATCTAGCTCCTCTAATGCACACCAACGCGGCTACCACCTGAAACAATCAACATTTGTGATCTCCAATGGTTTTGCACCCAAAACAGCCACCATCACAGGAGGTCCTGAAAAGCCACATGAGCTACATGTGCGGTGCCAATTGGCTGCCCACACTCCCAAGCATCACATTCCGGAAGCAATGAGATGCTGCCTTTGGCCCGATGCACCCATGCGCTTTTCACTCCTCGCTTGTGGCTTCACAGCACTGCTGCAACTCAAGCATCTACCAGCAACTAAGGAGGAATGCTGAAATACACTGAGGAAAGGGGTAAGTGAAGACCATTTACGAGGGATGGTAAGGATTTTGCTACTCTGTGCTCTTCGTGGAGAGAGACCAAGCATCGCAGTAACTGTTATCTCCTTTGGAGACAGCTGTTGAAGAAATCGCTGCGGAGGGACCGGGGTAGAATTTTTAAAAAACAAACAATACCCCTGAAGAACAACACACAACTCTTTAGTGTCTGGTGCCCCATGGGATGTGTGTGTGTGTGTGTGTGTGTGTGTGTGTGTGTGTGAAGCAGTCCAGCTTTGCTCCGTCCACCAGCAGCCCCAGGCCCAGTCACACTTGTAAGAGATGCCAGATGCAATTTCCATCTGGGGGCTCCCAAGCAAAGAAGTGACTGGACTCCTGAAAGAGCTGTCCCTCGCTTGGTCCTGGGGTTGCCCCCCCACCGTTCTGTGCCTTCAACAATGATGCGATCATCAAACATGTCACAGGTCTAGTTTCTCTCACTATAAATGCAGCAGCAAGTACATAAGCAAGAAGGTACCAGGCATATAGTTAGCCCTGCACCCTGTTTCCAACAGGGGTTAGTCACAGGCCTCTGGGATGCCTAGAAGCAGGGCTCTCCTCCACTGCATGGCCTAATACTCAAAGGTATACTACCTCTAAGTATGGAGGTTCACCTGGCTACCATGGGTAAAAAGCTTTGATTTGTCTGTTTCTTTTAAAAAAGAGTCTAGACTTTTGACATAATACATCACAATCAAATTAACAAGGTCCGCATGCCGGATTTCCACTTGATCACGCACAGAATCTTTGTCAAGGGGAAAAGGGGGGGGGAGAGGATTTATTTGTTTCCTCCATTCCCTGATTCCATTTTTCTGTTACTAAGTTGGCATTGGCAATGCCCTTGAATGCCCACAGGCTTAGATCTATAGTCCTGAGACAGGACAGAACTGGCAAAAGATTTGTTTTGTAACCTCGCCCTGCTCTTGTGTCTTTAAGAGCAGCCTGACATGCAGAAAATTAAGCCGTTCAAGCTCTTCCTGGCATGAAAACAGAGCAATTGCCGGGAGGGGAGGGGGCAGTTCAGTAGGTGTCTTTTAAAGCAAGCCACCCTACTTTCCCTTGCTCCCAGAACTGTTTTGTAATGCACTTTATCACACTAAGGATTCATATGATGCTTTCTGCAAGTCAGGGCTGCTGTTTGAGGCACAGAAACAGGGCTAGTTGGGAAAACCAACCAGCCAGCGAACAATAAAGGAAAAAAATTAAAAAGGATTCTGGTGGCATCTTGAAGACAGTCACATTTATTCCAGCGACAGTCAGCACTCACTTCATCAGATGCATTGGAGTGCACGTCCACTAGACAGATGCACTTACACTCCAATGCATCTCATGAAGTCAGCTACAGGATGACTAGTAGATGGCCGCTTAAAAGGATCGTCGCGGCTGCAGAGATGTTTAAAGTAAGCAAACTGGGTTAGGAAATAGGGTTCTGGGTGAGGAAATAGCTGGAGATTGGGGGGGGGGGTTTGAGAAGCGGGGGAGGGCCAGGTTTTAGGGAGGGGAGGGACCTCAACAGGGAACAATGCCATGGAGTCCAGCCTCCAAAGCAGCCTTTTTCTCCAGGGGAACTGATCTTTGTCGTCTGAAGATCAGCTGTAATACTGGGAAATCTCCAAGTGCCACCAGGAGGTCAGCAACTTTAAGGTGAGCGCTGACTCATGGAACCTTAGAAAAGAGCGAGAGTCCAGTAGCACCTTAAAGACTAACAAAATTTGTGGCAGGGCATGAGCTCTTGTGAGTCACCACTCACTTCTTCAGATACAGTGACTCACGAAAGCTCCTACCCTGACACAAAATTTGTTAGTCTTTAAGGCGCTACTCTTGCTCTTTCCTGCTGCTACAGACAGACTAACACGGCTACCGTCTATCTCACGCAGGGGCGGATCTACTATGAAACTAATCAAGTTTTAGCTTCAGGGCCCCTAATCCTGGAGGGGCCCTGAAGCAAATGAGCAAATTTTTCAACAAAACCGATGGAGCTTTTTAAAGTGTTTGCTATTAAAATAAGGCTATTTTAGTGACAGAATCATAAGCCAACGGATTGAAGTACTAAATATTGACCTCAGAGTATGCTCTAATACCCGTTCTCTGCCATTTGGGCCTTGAGGTCCTTGCAAGGGCAGGAAGGCCCTTTGGACCTTGCTTGATGCCGCCCTATTGTTGCTGGTTGAGAAGGGGCCCCCACAGCAGCTCAAGCTTCAGGGTCCCAAAAATGTAGGTCCGCCACTCACCTTATGAAGGAATAAACTGGACTTGTCCTTAAGATGCCACAAGAACTATCCAAACACGGCTAACCCGAATGACTGACAGACACACGCCATTCTCCCAAAGTTACCCGCCTTTTTTTTTTTTTGCATAGGACAATGGTGCAGAAATAATAAGGAAACGTGGGACTCACCGCCACGAGAGCCGGGTTCCTCTGCTCTCCCGCCGCCGCCGCCGGGCCCTGCTGCTCCCCGTTGATCCCATTCCTGCCACCAGCAGTCCCGTTGCTGAGCAGCTGACGATGATAGTAGTCCGCCGGAGGGGGCGCTGCAGCGCCGGAGGGGGCCGCCGCCGCCGAGGCTCCGCCGCCGCCGCTGCTGCTGCTATTGCTGGCGGCCGCCGCCGCCGCCGCCGCCTTGGCGTGCTTGCCGCCCTTGCGCGCCGCCTGGCCGTGCTGCACGAGGTTGAGGAGCTGCAGCGTGCTCTCCCGCTCGCGGTCCGAGCTCTCCGCCCGCCCGCGCTCGTAGCGCCCCTCGCAGTTCAGGTGGTGCTGGCGGCAGACGGCGATGCGCGCCCGCAGCCGCTCCACGATCGCGCTGTGCACCCTCGGCGCCGCCGCCGCCGCGCCGCCGCCTCCTCCGCCCAGGAGAGCCGGGGCTTGCGGGGGAGCCGTGTCCCCCATCGCCGGGGCCCCAGCTGCCGCCGCCGGCTGGCTCGAGCGCCTCCGCGGGCTTCGGCAGAGGGCCGCTCTCAGTCTCGCCTCCCCCCCCGCCACATGGAGCGGGGCGAGGGATGCGCTCCGGAGGGTCTGGCTTGGATTTGGAGTGGCGTTCGCGGGGCTTCTCAGAAGTCAGCCCCCTCCACCCAATGCCTTCTAGGGGACCCCCCCGGCAGGCAGGAGAGAATTGGACAGATTTAGTCCAGGGGGGTGTTTGCAAGGGTGGCTAGCAAATGAACGCCGAAAGGAAACAGATTTGCGAGCAAGAGGCATCGAAGAAGCAGCGGGGCACTGGACGGGGCTCTCGCGGGTGTCTCCCCCCCTCCCAGGATGACTAGTAGACGGCCGCTTAAAAGGATCGTCGCGGCTGCAGGGATGTTTAAAGTAAGCAAACTTTTTGGGGTGGTGTGTGGCGGGAGGGATGGAGAGAAATCACCTAGATCGAAAAAGTTAGAGGGTACAACTTTTTAAAGGGGGGGCGGGATTGGGTGAGGGAGGGCGGCATGCACGGGAGAGGGACGCTTTTGCAAGAAATCCGTTTGCACGGGGAAGGAATCGCCGAGATGGGTGACACGAGGTTTCTCCAGGCTTTGAAGAACTCGCAAGCTTGAAATTTAATGTTCGAGTAAAAAGGGTTTAAAAAAAAAAAAATCCCGTGCGGTTCTCCCTTCCTTCCTTCCGTCCTCGCCCGGCTCCTCGTTTTAATCCCGTTTTCGTACGAACTCTTTAAAAAAATACACATATAGAAGCAGACAGATCCTTACGGTAAGTTAGCGTCCAGATCCGACGGCTCTCTCCCGCTGAAACCTCTCGGTCGAAGAAAGAGAGTGAGGAAAGCCGTATTTCCTAGTTTCTGTTTCTTCCTCCTCCGGGCGATCAAAAGGCCGAGTCCGATCCCGAAGAGCAAAAAACCTTTCCGCGTCCTTCTTGTCGTGTCTTTGTAGTTCCAGAAGCTCCAGGCAGCTCCGAGGAGGGAAATAAATATTTCAGGGTCGGGGGTGGGTGGCTGGGTGGAAAAACCGCGACGGTGCCGACGACGAGTCACGAGAAACCCTGAAACTTGCAAACTTCCAGTTTTGCACCTCCGGACCGGTCCGCTCCAGTGAGTCTCCTCGCCGTGTTTGTCAATGCCATCCCTCCCAGACGCGGACCGAGGAAGGGTGGCTCTCCCTCCACGTAATAGATCCGATTCGGTTTGTGGTGCTGGATGAGGGCCCCCGCGCCGCCTTCCCCCCGGTTTGAAGTGCAAAGGAGCTTCCTAGCGTTTCCCCCCTCTTTCCCACTCCGCTCCTGTTTAAGCCGCCCGGCTGCTACGACTGCCCGGCGCGGGGGTTGCAGCAGATACACAGGATTGCATTGTGCTCGCGGTTCAGAAACCGAGGGGGAGAGAGAGGGCGCGAGCAGCAAACAAGCCGACGCTGGCTGGGGTAGCCCTGCCGGAAGGCTGGCAGAGTTACGAGGGAAGGAAACCAGGGGGCCGGAGCCCCCCAGCGGCGGAGCACCTTCGTTGCAGGGACGACGACGACGACGGAGGACCCGGAGCCTAGCGAAAGGTTTGAGCCGATTTGCGGAGGAGTCCGAAGGAAGGATATCCACCGGGCGCAGAAGTTAAAGCCCATTCACTTGGATGGCAGGGAGTCCCCGGCAAGGAGTGCAGCTTTGCGGCGCACTAGCCCAGATAACTAGCCCGATCTGGACAGAGCTTGGCCGCTAAGCAGGGCTGGCTAGGGTTAGGAGGGCTTGGATGAGAGACCACCAAGGAAGATGGGGGAGGGGGCTGCAGAGGAAGGCAATGGCAAACCAGTCCAGGGTGGCCAGCTCGGTGTTGGAAAACACCTGGAGATTTTGGAGGGTGGGGGAAGGTGGGGGTTTATGGAGGGAAGGGACCTCAGCAGGGTATGTCCTACGCTCCACCTTCTGGAGCAGCCATTTTATCCAGAGGAACTATTCTCTGTCAGATGGAGGCCGGCTGTTATTCTGGGAGCTCTCTATCCAGGGGTCATTTAGTAGAAAAAGAGGTGCAGGAGCGCATTAGCACAACTCATTTGCATATGCCACACCCCCTGACATCACTGGAAGTGTGTCAGAAGGCAACACCCACCACTCAGGCTCCACTGGACTCTTGGATTGCTAGCTATTGGGGGGGGGGAGAATTTGCAGATCTGTCCTCGCAGAAGAGGGAGAGCTTGTACCTGAATAGAACTTGGTCTTAAAGGTGCCACTGGACTGTTTTGGACGGGGGGCCTCTGCAGCTTACCTGACTGCTTCTTGCTCTGAGGGCTGCTGGAAGCAGGGGGTGGGGCTTGTTGCATGTGCCTGGGCTCTTTACTGCCGGAGCTCCGCTCCTGTCGCTCTTGCAGGAAATGAGCCCTGTCTCTATCTACCACCTGGAGACTGACAACCCAGGTACTGTTTGTGTCACTTACCTCTCCACGGGGGCTTAGAGCATTCTGTGTATGCACTTGAAACACACACCCCCAAGCAGAGACAGTATTTATTGCTGAATTTTGTTGTTAGCCAGAGGAAGGATTTTTTTAAAAAACGTAAATACCCAGGTTCTCAAACTGCCTACACCATCAACATCTTAGTCTTCTTCCCCTTTATCTGGGAATTGCACTCTATTCAGTGATGAAAAGGCACTACTGTACTCTGGAGCCTCTAAATCCATGGCTGGAACTTCAGTTTCAGGGGCAGGCAGTGGACCTCTGTGACCGGCCCTTTCTGGAGACCGAGGGGACCACACTGCCTCTTTGATGGATCTGAGGGACCTGGCTGGTTTTGAGAGAAAGGCCTTCCCCTCAGTTACAAGATGTTCTTGGGGTCACAAGTGTAAAGGCTTCGGGGGGATGCTGTGGGGTAAGTTTTGTATTGAGCCAGAAGAGTACAGAGATCACTAAAGCAGCTTTAATAAAAGAACAAAGATTTATTTGTATACAGGTTATGTGGTGAATTCTCTTTAAAGCTTGTCGTTCGCAGCTCTGCTCATCACCAGAGACAGGCCTCACAACTCTGTCCTCTCCCAGAAGTAGAGTTAAGCCACTCTTCCACACTGCCAGGCAGAGCTACACATGAAGTTGTCGGCTCCCTTGCTGAGACCATTCCCCTTTTTCTGTCTGTACTCTCCCTCAGGCAGTCCTCAAGCGCCTCTCTGGAAGGAAACAGGATGCTGGAGCAGCACTCCCATAAGCCCAGGTGTGGAAACAGCTGAGTGGCTGTTTTACCTCTCAGGGGCAGGACAGCCTCCTGTCCGTCACAGCGTCCATGGAAGTCTCTCAGCTACGTTCCAAAATGGAAGCCGACTCAACTGGTATCATGGGCGAAAACAAAACTGCGGCCTCTGCACAATCCAATAATGCCTGTAACACATGCTTTCCTCCCTCATAAATGCTACAGAAATGATTAAGCGCTTTTATTTATTTTAGCACAGCTCAGTTTCACACGCAGCCTGATTTGCTACTTCTGTTTTGCATTGGTAAAGGCCAATAATGTTAGAGATTTTTCAGCTGTCCTACCAATCAGCAGGCCTATGAATTCTGGGTCTCCAAGACACATAAATAATGATGGCCTGCTGGCTTTAGAGATAATCTGTTACTGCCCTGTCTCCCCCTCCCCCTTTTTTTTTCAGGGTCTGAAAAAAATGTTTGATGCTTACAGCAACTTTTTAAAAATGTGCTGGGAAAACAGCATGCAGCTTACACTCTGTTGGACTTCTTGCCATGTAGATCATTCTTTTTCCAAAAAGAGGAACTGGAGCCAAACATTTCTCAAAAACTGACACAATCCACCTGGGCATCACTGCAGAAACAATTCTGTTTCCTGAATGGAACTCCCCAGTTCTTTAGAGGTGGGGGGTTCCCCCCCCAAAAAAATTATAGACCAACATGTTCAACACAGAATACATTATTTCAAATATAAAACTCCCCCCCCATTAATAGCTCTTATAATTAAAATGAAACATGTAATTGACCATTAACTCACTCATCTGCATGATTTACAGGACATAATTACATCTCAGAGTAAAAGAAAAAGAGAGCAAGAATGCAGGAATGTCTTCACCAGTCCAAAGGATGCGTATAAAAACTCTTCTTCAAAAGATGCAACATACTCAGTCCATTTTTTCCTCTTGGAAGTTGTCTGCATCATTCATGTAGTCTTCGAGATCTGTATAGTGCTTCACGGATTACACAAAAACACATTAACTTCAGCAGAAATCCCAGCTGAAGGTTTTATGTTACTTGCTGACATAATTCACAATCAAGATCAATAACTATCTCCAGATTATTGCACTACAGATTAATGGCACTACAGCTAAGAATTTTGGTAGGTTCTACTTCTTACAATCCCCATGGAAAAGATTGCACCTCTCAAAATTCTCCCTTTGACACAAGTGTAAGAGGCTACAAATTCTGCCTCCTAGGAAATCTGCCACCTTTCTTGACAAAGCGGGTCCATAACAAATTCCATACTTGTAACTATGCTAAGGTCACGGGTACGTTCACTGCTATTTGTGGCTGCTAGGCCCAAATTGCACCATAAATGAATTACTTGGAATCTTGTTTCTATAATGTCACATGGCTTGTTATCGGGACAACGTAGTTAGCAACAGGTTGGAAAACCTTCCAGTAGGCATACCATCCCACCTTTGCCTTCTAATGGACTGAAACTGTGATAGCAGCAGGATGCCTCATCATGGGCAGGGTGGTCCCACAAGAAGGGACCTCAGCTCCCAGGATCAGAAAAGTTATTTCGGCAGTGCCACCTCTCTGCCCGGTTTCTCTTCCCAATCAAAAATGTTGCCACCCAGCTTCTGTTTTGTTGGTCTCTCTCTCTCAGTCTACCTTGGCATTGAAACCAGCCCTCCCCGTGCCAGTCATATGAGGCCCCAAAGTGAAGTCTGGATCATCTCCAAGACAAAGGCTAAAAGGCCAGCAGAGAAAGGGCCAGAGTGGGCCGACACCCACAGTGATATCCCACTCACTGGAAACAAAGGCCACTTCAAGAGAAACATGCTTCTCCCTTTGCCAAGCCCCGGGCTGTTAATCAGGACCTCTCATTGTACATTAATCAAGATTTAATTAGATAAGAACATAAGAGATGCCAATGTTGGATCAGGCCAAAGGCCCATCCAGTCCAACACTCTGTATCACACAGTGGCCAGAAATACCAGTGCCATCAGGAGGTCCACCAGTGGGGCCAGGACATTAGAAGCCCTCCCACTGTTGACCCCCCCCCCAGCACCAAGATGACAGAGCATCACTTGCCCCTGAGTCCCTATCTATACCTTGTGGCTAATAGCCACTGATGGACCTCTGGCTCCATGTGTTTATCCAATTCCCACTTGAAGACGTCCATGCTTGTAGCCGCCACCACCTCCTGTGGCAGTGAATTCCATGTGTTAATCGCTCTTTGGGTGAAGAAGTACTTCCTTTTATCTGTTCTAAGCCAACTGCTCAGCAACTGCATTGAGTGTCCACGAGTTCTTGTATTGTGAGAAAGGGAGAAAAGTACCTCTTTCTCTACCTGCTCTATCCCATGCATAATCTTATAAACCTCAATCATGTCACCCCTCAGTCGTCGTTTCTCCAAGCTAAAGAGCCCTAAGCGCCTTAACCTTTCCTCATAGGGAAAGTGTTCCAACCCTTTTATCATTTGAGTTGCCCCTTTCTGCACTTTTTCCAAAGCTATAATATCCTTTTTAAGGTGTGGTGACCAGAACTGCACACAGTATTCCAAATGAGGTCACACCATTGATTTATATAGGGGCATTATGATATTGGCTGATCTGTTTTCAATACCCTTCCTAATAATCCCCAGTATAGCACTGGCCTTCTTTATTGCAGTCACACACTGTCTCAACATTTTCAGTGAGTTATCTACTACAACTCCAAGATCTCTCTCTTGATCAGTCTCTGCCAGTTCAGACCCCATCAATGTGTATTTATAGTTAGGATTTTTGGCTCCAATGTGCATCACCCTGCACTTGGCCACACTGAACCCCATTTGCCATGTTGACGCCCACTTGCCCATCCTTGACAGATCCCTTTGGAGTGCCTCACAATCCTCACTGGTTTTCACCACCCTGAACAACTTCGTATCATCCGCAAATTTAGCCACTTCACTGCTTACTCCCAACTCCAAATCATTAATGAACAAGATACGAAAGATCCCGCTACATTAATAATTGTGCTAATTCACACGATCATTTCGGACTAAAAGTTTCTCCAGTCACACCAATCCAATACCAATCAGCTGAAATTGCCTCCAAAAACCCCAACACTAACACCAGACCACCTCTCACACACCTCCTCCGTGCCATATGACTTTCTGTATGTTCCCTAGTTGGAAATAGTCCTATGAACTCCCTCCTTCTTAACTGCCAGTTGGATCATCTGGGTTCTTCACCTCTTTGTTCAAGTGAGGGAAAAAAGGAATTTTTAAAAATTCAAGCTTTTAGCCAGTTGAGTGTAGTGGTTAAGTGTGTGGACTCTAATCTGGGAGAACCGGGTTTGATTCCCCCACTCCTCCACTTGCACCTGGCTGGATGACCTTGGGCAAGCCCTAGTTCTGATAAGAGCTGTACTTGAAAAAGAACAGTTTCTGTCAAGAGCTCTCTCAGCCCCACCTACCTCACAGGATGTCTGTCGTGGGGAGGGGAAGGGAAAGGAGTTTGTAAGCCGCTCTGAGGAGTGAAGGGCGGGGTAGTGAAGGGCGGGGTATAAATCCAATCTCTTCTTCTTGTGTCAGATGTCAGAAACGGCATCATCTTCAGCCACAGATCTTGCTCAGCATGCCGGTGGTGTCTTGCCACGAGTCCCAGACTTGTGCTGCCCTGCCATGTTCTGTCCTGGTGTGCTTTATCCAGAGAAAGTTTGCTTGCTGAATACCACTGTCTTCTAATCATAAAAAGTCCTGGTTCCTAGCCTTTGCTTCTGCTGCTCTTGACCTTGGATTTGTTTTTTTGGGATTACTGGCCGTCCAGATGCTGTGAGACTCCTGCTTTGGATTCAGAATTTTTACCTGCAGCCGGTGCAGACAGGTAGCTACAAGCCTTTGCTTCACCCTTTTCCTGTCCCTCTTTTGGCCTCTTGCCTTCCCCTTCTTGACTGATACTAATTGCACAGTCTGTGTGCCTTTGGCAATTTGGAATATTTGCCTCTTGATGATGGCTTCCTAGTATTTGATATCACTGTGACTGCTTGTGTGCGTGCTGCTCCCCTCAATAAGTCTGTCTCTGCTATCACCTCCCTCAAGTGTACTGAGGCCTTGAGTACAGCAAAACTGGAGAAATACGGCTGCCAAAGTTGTGCTAGGAAGTGTCGCACTTTGTCAAAAGATCCCCTTGTAGCTGTTTGAATGTTGCTGCCCAGATCTGTCTAGTTTCCTTAAACGGGGTGTAGAACCTAAGCTGGCAGCTCTCAGGCAGAGGAAGGAAGCTTTTCTTTCTTTATGCTCAGGATATTCTACCATGGACTCGGGACCAATGCTCCCTCTAAGCTGTGGAGTCTTATGAGCAAAAATTCAACTTTGTGATCTACTGGCATTAAAGTTGTGAGCGAGCGATTTGGCTACTGTATAAATCAGTTTGCTTTGGAACCATCCTTCCTGAGCTGAGACAAAAATGTGTGAGCCGGAGACTAAAAAACTGTGAGCTAGCTCACACTAACTCAGCTCAGAGGGAACACTGGAAAGTGGGCCCCATTTACACAAACACAGATGTCAGATCGTGGTGTTAAGAGGCGATCATGCCACCGTACTCGAAACAGCACTCTTCCCTATGTTCCTAGCAGAAAATATTTTAGACATTAAAGCAGGAAAATAACTGAGGTGGTTTAATTTCTAAGCAGGTGATGGTTCCAGTAATTCCCCCCCCCCCCGAATTACCCTTTATGGCAACCTAATCCATTTTAGGAGCGTTTAAAATCTACTCTCTCTCTACCCTCTTCACCATCTTTAATCTTACACTTTTCTTTACAAAAAAGTCACTGCTCCACTGATGATTAATTTTACCTTCCTGCCAAGCAGGAGAGGAAGAAGAGAAGAGATTGGATTTATACCCCGCCCTTCACTTGGAGTCTCAGAGCGGCTTACAAACTCCTTTCCCTTCCCCTCCCCACAACAGACACCCTGTGAGGTGGGTGGGGCTGAGAGAACTCTGACACAAACTGCTCTTTCAGGAACAGCTGTGCCAGAGCTTGTGACTGACCCAAGGTCACATCAGCAGGTGCAAGTGGAGGAGTGGGGAATCAAACCTGGTTCTCCCAGATTAGAGTCCGCACACTTAACCACTACACCAAACTGGCAGTAGACTTTTACCCAACAATCAGTTCCACTTTACCTTCTGGATCCAGCCATCTTCTTCCAGCTGACTGAAGACTCTGTCCACTTTGTCTTTAAGCAGCTCATCCTGAGAATCATCTTGCTTCATAACAGAGCAGCAATCCTGATACAACTTGTATTTAAAATGCTTCAGTTTGTGGTAAACTTCGGTACGATTTCCACACACAATCCCAACCTTTAATCTCTATATCAAAAGGCAAGCTTATTTACTATGCATGTCTTGGACAATCATACCATTATGTCATGAACTAAACTAATGAGTGGATCATGGTAAAATTATATTATAACACGGAGGGGATATTTATCAATAAATATCTAATTGCAAGTAGCTCTTGCCTTTCCTTCCTTGCTGCCCTAAGAATAGCAATTTAGGAAGCCACCATGCTAGTCACTCACTTTGTTTAGTTCAAACACTGGTACAACTGCAGCAAATTTAAAATAATTAAATTAAAAGGACTACCATGCAATCTGCAATCTTATGCAAAATTATATCCATCTAAGCCCATGGAAATGAGTGGATTTAGACTGGGGTAACTCTGCATAGGATTGCATTGTATGTCTTTGTCAGTATTCTGTTACTACCAGCCAGGGTTCGTTTCATAGAAAAAGAGCTAGGGGAACTCATTAGCATAACTCATTAGCATATGCCACACCCCCTGACATCACCGGAAGTGTGTCATAGCAGGGGTGGGGAGAGGCAGGGAGGAAGCAACTTACCCTCCCTCTTCTCCTGCCTCCTCCTGGCTGAATGAGGGCCGGAAGCGGGGCGGCCGGAAGCGGGGGGGCGGGGCTTCGTCATGTGCCCCGCCCCCCGTACCTCACCCGGGGGAACTGCGATCCCCCGCGATTCCCCCCGAAATGACCGCTGCTACCAGCAAGTCAGAAGGCATGCCCTTATTCAAACCTAACTGAACTGCAAGAGAATTAAATCAGAGAGATTGGTTATCAGACTCAAACACCGTAAACCCTAGAATTATACAGAACAGTCAAACCGATGTAAATCTTCATAGTCATCGCACTTTAAAAAGCAAAGGAATGCAAGACTGGGAGCCCCACAGGTAAACCAGCCTGCACACAGGCACAACAGATGTTGCTAAACATAAATGGTGCATGACAAAATGCTTGTACGTATATGATTCTCCCATTAAAAAACCATTACAGTCTCTACACTGCACCAATTCAGCTTCCATATTTAACGTTTATTTGTGCAGCTATCTATGGCCATCTGATTTATTTATAAATGGGAGCAGATAAATGATGAATCAGTTACGGTAAATGTAAAAGTTCCTTCCAAAGAGCTAGGCCAACTGACTCTGAAGCGTGCCCACCAAGAAATCAAGGACAGATTGTTCCGGAGAGGCATGTGATCTCTTACTCAGATATCAGGGCCCTTGACGTAAACTGTACAAAGCATCCACACTACCTTTAACCTATTAATCTAACAGATAGGTGTAGAATATTAATCTAACAGATAGGTGTAGAATATATTACAATACATATCTGGACCAACAGGATATATGGTCTCTTAAAAATCTCTCCATTTAGAGTTTTACATGACTTCACGCCATTAAGTTGATTACTGCATGAAGATGCTCCTTATTCAGAGTAATTGATATCCGTCACGTTTGACAGCCAGTATGGTATAGTGATTAAGAGTATCGGACTAGGATCTGGGAGACCCAGGTGCGAATCCTCACTCGTGCCATGGAAGCTCACTGGGTGACCCTGGGCCAGTCACACTCTCAGCCTAACCTACCTCACAGGGTTATTGTGAGGACAAAATGGAGGAAAGGAAAACAATGTAAGCTGCTTTGGGTCCCCACTGCGGATAAAGGCGGGGTGTAAATGAATTAAATACATGAAGAAATAAATAAAAATTGTTGAGCCTGGAAAGTACTTCATTTTAATGAACTGTACAGATGCTTCACTATAACTGGCCAGCATGTTGTATATTTCTTCTCTGATGCCTGTGTTAAGTGCTGTCAAAACCCTTCAATCAAAACAGGCTTAAAATCATAAAAAAATAACATCAAATCATAACAAACAAATATAAGCAATCAAAGTGCCATGCGCTCTGTCTTTTCAGCCCACAGCAGGTTCTGAGACTACCATTCAACATTTACCTGTTTGTCATGTGACATGAAGTCATCTATTTCCATTGTATTGGTATTGTATAATTTTCCTGACAGAACCACTGTGAGTCTGCAGTACCTCTGCAGTTCACAGGCCTGACAGGAACGTTCTTCCGAGTTTCCAAAAACTATGCAGACATTAGGGTAACTATCCACACGTTCCTAAAAAAAGATAACATGGTTAAAATTCTGTTGGCTATTTGCTCTATGGTTCAGCTACCGTTTTCAACAAAACTACAGAATTCATATGTAAGTGGTCTTAGGCACTGCAAACGTTTGTTTCCTCACGTTATGATGTAGGCCCCCAATTATAAGTTAAAAAACAACCTAGTATTTTTCTCCTTTAGAAAAAGGTTAACATTGCTTTACTCTGATAGTATTTAATTATGGTTCTTATACTGGCTATTCTATGAGCCATCCAATTAATATGGGCTATGAACGTTCAGAACCTGAACTGTTATTGCGTGACTGGTTCAAGGAAGTATACAGGTAGTTTCTCTGATAGAATTTAATTATGGTTCTTATAGTGGATATTCTATGAGCTGTATCTGAAGAAGTGAGCAGTGACTCACAAAAGCTCATACCCTGCCACAAATTTTGTTAGTCTTTAAGGTGCTATTGGACTCTTACTCTTTTCTATTGCTACATACAGACTAACATGGCTACCCATGAGTTATGGTCTTTCAGATCCTGAGCTGCTATTGTGTAATTGGTTCGATGAAGTATACAGGTAGTTTCAAGTCCAATCATAAAGCCAACAGTTCCTTAAGGCTGAAAAAACAGATATATGACTGGAGTGTGCAAAACTACACCCCTACTGATCTTAAGGTCATGGGCTGCAACTACAACCAACATGCTATCCAAAATATTTCCCTATTTAGAATGCACTTTAGTTGTTCCATGAGCAGCCAGACACCGGTAACGGAAACATTCTCTGGCAACAACAAAGATTGAAAACAGATGTCAATACTTCTTCTAACTTATATCTATTGGGTCTGATCCAGAGCTTCATGTGTATCACCATGTGCAGAGAGCTTCTACATGAGTAGGCGTCCACACTTCTCTCAATTTCAGGGGAAAATCCACATATACAAAGTAACTGTCATGGGGAACTGCTGTCACCATCGAAGGGAATAGGGGAATTCTCTCATACATGTACACAGATGAGGGAACCAGTACAATCCCAATTAATTTAAGGCCTGCCAACAAATGCAACAGAGGCGAAATTTCAGCTGCAGTATTTAACCAGGAGCTTGAGATTCAGTCATGAACTATTGAAAGTTTACTGATTACAAAAACAAGGACTGAACTGCATAGTGTACTCATCTGGAAAAAACGCCTGAGGATAGCCATTCTAAACAGCAATCGGCATATAATTCAATACCAGAGGCAGTTAAAGAACCAGACAAGACCTTATATCGTTCTTTCCAACGACTTCTGGCGATCAAATTGTCAAGACGAGGTTGAACAATGCGGTTGTCCAAGTATCGAAGTGAAGCCAGCATCTCTTGTGCGTACCTCTTCTGCCTTTCCCCTTCTGTTGGAGAACGAGAAATCACATTACCCTTAAGTTGCTTACATTCACATTCTTATTTTTTTTAAAAAAATATTGCACTTATTTCAATAGCGCAGTCTTTTAAAGGGCAATGTAAGAAGTCCTTCATTATTTACCGTATAGTGAGCTCAAAAAGGTGCAATCGACGGCATTGATGAGAAAGGCTCTCACAATTCTTTTCAAGTGGGCAGAAGGACTAGGACGAGCCACTGCCAAAGCAAAGCAAAACGAGTAAAATGTGTATATATGTTTGCATGAGAATTTCCTTCAGGGTAATGTATGAAGAAGCCCTCAAAAAATGAGGTGCTACAAATATGATATGGATAAGCAATTTCTAGCTTAAATTTAACCTTACAGTCTGGAATATAACGCTCCAATAGGGTTTTGCGTGACTTGGTGTGTTTCTTCTCTTGCAGCTGCCTTTCATCGTCCTCAGATCCCTCTTGTTTCAACTCTTTGCCTTCCTCCTCCTCCTCCTCCTCCTCCACAATGAGACCTCTCATGCTATCATCGTCAGCTGAGTCACTGACATCAGTCGGGTTGAAGGGTGATGGATAGGTATCTTCTAATATTAAGACATCATCTTCAGCATCCTGGTGACGATAAAGAAATCCCATATATAAAAAATATCTGTTTTAGTGACACAAGATTATCATCACTTGGGCTAGCAGACAAAGACCGCCTTACATCGACTGTGCAGCTATCAAAATACACTTAGGATCATATCGGGAAACGTCTTTTAAAATTGAGGTAACTGATTCTGGAATATTTATATTGAGTTTCCCAAACTCTGGGTTAGTCATCCAGCATGTTAGCTGCAGGGCTGACGGCACAGCAACACAAGAGGCGAAAACAAGATGAATTCCCATTCAGGGAACAGGTCAGCATGCAAGTTCTAACGATGAGACCTGCATATCCCTTCAACTTATTTATTTAAAGCATTTTTAGCCTGCCTTCCTCCAAAACAAGGCTCGAAGCGCATTACGATGACAATTAAATATATATTTAAAAATCCATAAAAACGAATGAACACACACACAATTAAAAATTAAGTGACAGTGTCAGAAGCCCTCCTGAATAGTTCCACCTTACACAACTTGCAGAATCTCAAAAAAGCGGGAACCTTCCTAATAACAACAGGAACATGAAGAACTTTTTTTAGCATGTCCCAACCAGCCTGATGAATATAAATCCCCTATCTAAACAGCAACTACAAATGCACCAAACCGCACCTCATGAGGATCGCCGTCACTCCTTGCCCGAGTCGATCGCCGCTGGGAAAGCTCCCGCAGCTTCATCAGCCTTTTCTGCTTTCTGTTTGTTTCTTCTTCTGCAGGCGACGTGTGCTGCTCCTGCTCGGCAGATGAGTCTTCCTCATCTACTATGCAACTGCGTTTAGCAAACACTTTTCTAACAATGCCACTGTCGTCACTTCCATCGCTATCGTCGTGTATCACAGACGATCGTGACCTCTTGTGTTTCCCCGGGACGATGCTTTCTTCTTCCACGTCGTCTTCTGTGAAGCCATCGCAGCTTGCCTTGATGACTGGAAGGCTACTCCCATTAATGGTGGTTTCTTCTTTGCTGACGTCAACCATGGATTTGCCTTCTTCCTCCCCCTCATCTTCTGAGCTGGTTTGAATGTCCTTCTCTGACGCTGATGCGCTTTCATCGTCCTCTTCCTCACTGTCAAGCAATCTGGTTCTCTTAGTCCGATTCCAGTCAACCCGAGATTTGGCTGCGGGTTCTTTTGCTCTTCCGCTTCTCCTTGTTTCGTATCTTCCACTTACAGAATTTGTTTCCATAAGGTCTTACTTCTGAAAGAAGCAAAACACACACACACACAAAACAAAAAGAAGAAGAGATTTTGTGCTATGAATTGATATGTCTTTTCGCATTCATGTTATATGGAGGTGTGAGGACTTGGGGGAAAAAATAGCCAGAAAAAAACCTGAGATGCTCCCCCCTTTCATCTAAACTGGAAAATCTTGTGACGTTTTTCATAGAAACTCCATGGATGATGGTCCCATTTGTATTTGGGCTGCAGCACGTGGGGAGAAGAGAGAGTGTTAACCCCCTTTCCTGGAGCATAAGAGAAGCCAATGTTGGATCAGGCCAATAGCCCATCTAGTCCAACACTCTGTCACACAGTGGCCAAAAATACCAGGTGCCATCAGGAGATCCACCAGTGGGGCCAGGACACTAGAAGCCCTCCCACTGTTGCCCCCCCCCAAAGCACCAAGAATACAGAGCATCACTTGCCCCAGACTGAGAGTTCCTACCTATACCTTAAGAACATAAGAGATGCCAATGTTGGATCAGGCCAAAGGCCCATCCAGTCCAACACTCTGTATCACACAGTGGCCAGAAATACCAGTGCCATCAGGAGGTCCACCAGTGGGGCCAGGACATTAGAAGCCCTCCCACTGTTGACCCCCCCCCCCAAGCACCAAGAAGACAGAGCATCACTTGCCCCAGAGTCCCTATCTATACCTTGTGGCTAATAGCCACTGATGGACCTCTGCTCCATATGCTTATCTAATTCCCTTTTGAAGCCATCCATGCTTGTAGCCGCCACCACTTCCTGTGGCAGTGAATTCCAAGTGTTAATCACTCTTTGGGTGAAGAAGTACTTCCTTTTATCGGTTCTAGAATTTACCTTGTGGCTAATAGCCACTGATGGACCTCTGCTCCATATGCTTATCTAATTCCCTCTTGAAGCTGTCCATGCTTGTAGCCGCCACCACCTCCTGTGAGTGAATTCCATGTGTTAATCACTCTTTAACACATGCAAACTCCCTTCCCACCTTCCTGGAGGTACTATTTACTCTGCTGGGGAACACATAAAGACACCTGGCCTTCTCCTCCTAAAGTACAAAGAACAGGTGAATGCTCACAAACCTCCCCTTGTCATGTCTAGTCTGGCACTTGGTGAATTTGACTAGATTACTAAACTACACTTTTTAAACCTAAGCTTTCAAAAGTACTCTCAAAGGTTGTAGAGTGTATTAAACTGTATTCTACAAATTTTGAAACCTTGGGTTTAAACACATGTGTATCACAATGTGCAGAGAGCTTCTACATGAATTTGTTAAGCATACCGGTCTGGCAACACAGTGGCGAGGTCTTTGATCAACACAGCCTTTGACTTCACTTGCTTTTTACACCTCAGTCCTTCATTTTTTGTTATTTATTTAGAACTTATTTATTTCAGTGCTGCCTCTCCACAGCCTGAGGCGGCTTACAGAATAAACATAATAAAAACAAACCATTAAGAGATATTAAGTAAAACCCAGCATTAAAAAGCTCCAGCCCAGCATAAAAATGGATCATAGGAAGACCAGAGACAGCTTAAAAACAACAGCATACAGGCTAAAAAATAAAAAATTACCCCCTAATTAAAAGCCCGATGAACACAAATCTTTTGGCCCAAAAGAAAGCAGCGTAGGCACCAAGCAAGTCTCAAGGAGGAAGGCATTCTATAAGCCAGCAGTTCCCAAACTTTTCGGTACGGTGACTTACAAGTCCAAATTTACTTGGATATGGTGACCCACCCTGGGCATTCTGTTTTCTACAGCGGCTCCCCAAATGTTTTTAAGAAACTAAGGACCATCTCACAAAGGGTGCAAGCTGCCCCCCCCCACTACAAATCCTGAGCAAGTGGCATTCCAACACACACACAGCCTTCGCATATGGAGGCTACATTCCGGCCTCTGAACACTCTCCTCCTCCATTACCCCCTCCAACCCCCCCCCCCCCCCCCGACTCCCACAC